GGCCCGCGGCCCCCCCCCCCACCCGCCCCCCGGGGCCCCCGGCCAGCGGCCAGCGTCCTCGCCCCAGCCCGCGGGAGCCAGCGCTGGCTCCGGCCACGGGCCTGGCCCTGCTCCGGCACGCCGGCATGGCCGCAGGCACCTTGCACCCAGAGCCGGGCTCCAGGTGGTGCCCATGGTGGTACCAGACCCTGGCGGTGCTGCCAACAGTGCCAGAGCCACCGCACGGCGAGCATCCCTGCGCCACAGCCCTCGGTCCCCAGTGCCTGCAGAGCGCTGCCGCATGCAGTGCCAGCCCGTGGGCAGCGTGTCCCCAGCCCCTGCCCAGCTGTGCCCTGCCAGCCCCGGGTCCCGCGCAGGGCGGCACAGGGTGAGGATGGGGCACGGGAGATGGGATGGGGCAGGTACCCGGGAGCAGGTGGCACCAGTGCGGTTCCCGGGGCGTTTATCGGATGGGATGCCAGTGCCCGGCCAGAGGACGCACTGCTCCCTGCACCCCACCATGCCCCACTGGGACGGGGTCTGTCCCAGGAGGATGCTCGGGGTGGGCAGGGAGCCCCGAGGGCAGGCAGCCCCGTGGGGATGCTCTGCACCCCTCGCCCCTCTGTCCCCAGGGCATGGCACCCCACCTGCCCGCTGTGGGAGCAGACAGGGGGACATGGGCAGGGGCACGGGCAGCATTGCAGGCAGCACTGCCAGGCAGCCAGGAGCATTTCCTCCCGCCTGGGAGGAAGGTGTGCGCCGGCAGTGGAAACACGGCGTCTTTTCCTGCAAGGGGAGAGCTGAGCTGGCAGCAGCGGGAACCACCGGCATCCCGGGCAGGGCTGGGGGTGTCCCCCAACCCGCAGCTGGGTTCCGGTCCTTTCTGGGCACCCAGTACCACTGGTGATGGCCACCCACTGCTCCCCCTCACCAGGGAGGTCTGTGTGGGTCCCCCCTGGCCCCAAGCCCGGCACCCCCAAAAGCAGGCAGGGGGACAGCCAGCTGAGCCGAGCAGGCAGGAGGCTTCCTGCCTGCCTTCCTCCCCGGCCCGTGGCCAAGCGGAGGTCGGCTGCTCAGTGATGCTCCGGGCACGGCAGGTCAAGCAGCAAAGGCAAACGGAGGGCAGGACCCAGCTCCCGGCGGATGGTCCCAGGGCTGCTGGGGATGTGGCCCCAGGGCCTGGCAGTGGCCATGGTGCCAGCCCGTGCCAGCTGTGGTCCCCACCTGGCCACTGGCCCCACAGCCAGAGGGAGATGCCGGGGAGAAGTCTCTAGCTAAGGAGGCAAAAAGGGCCAGCTTGGGGCTTGCGGGGGCTGGGATGGCAGCCATGGGATGCAGTGGGCATGTGGCAAACCCCGGAGCAAGGTGGTCAATGGGGGGACCTGTGGGGCCATGGGATGGGGGGGCATCATGTCCCACTACGCCCCACAGTCAGAGCCCTGTGGCTGCGGGACCGGAGCGTGCAAGGTGGCTCCCAGACCGGTGGGTCCCCCCGGGGCTCTCCCTCTGCGTGCCAAGGCTGCTGGGACCGTGGCAGGGGTGGCCGTGCTCCCTGGCACCGGTACTGGCACCGGTTCGCTGCCTGCCCGGCCCGGCAGGCTGTGAGCAAACGGCTGCTCTCCCCCCTGCGGGGCGCAGGCAGCCCCTCACCGCCGGGACCCCCTGCCCTGTTTTCCTTCACCATTTGTCTGCCTGCGCAGAGCCCGTAAATCACGCGGCAGGGGGAGAGGGCCGCGCCGGGGGCCAGAGGTCCCACTGGGGCTGGGGGCGTGCAGGGCCGCCATGGGGACGTGTCCCTTGCCGGCTCCGTCCCCTGCTGCCTCTCACTGTGCATTGGTCCCCGCGAGGGACCCAGACCCTCTCCGGGCCCTGGCAATAGCCCCTGCCTGGGCGCAGACCGGGGGCCGTTTCTGCCCCACAGAGGCGCCCGGCGCAGAGCTGGGGATGGGCAAGCCCTTGGCAGGGAGCAGGCAGGTGCTTGCGTGGAGAGAGGAGCCCCCGCTCTCTCCCCGGCGTCCCGCTGGGCTGCGGCTGGGGGGCCGCGGCAGCCCCCGGCCCTGACAGGCGGCAAGACGGATGGCAGGGGCTGTGTACTCAGCTGCGGCCGCCCCACACATGGCCGCCAGCTGACGGGGATGGGCTGGGGGCAGAGCCCGCGCCCGGGGCCCAGCCGAGCTGCCCCGGGGTGTTTCTGGGGGGCATGGCCACGCGTGGGGTGCTGGTGGCCTGTGCTGCTGCGGTGGAGGATGGGCACTTGGGGACGCAGGCGGGGAAGGAGCTTTGGAGATGGCTCAGTGTGGAGCATACGTGTGCATGCGTGTGCACGCGTGTGCATGCGTGTGCACGAAGGAGCGTGTATGGATGTGCATGTGTGCATTGGCATGGATGTGCAGCTGTACACATGTACGTGTGTGTGCATCCATACGTGTGTGTGGATGTGTATGGATATATGTGAGTATGGGTGTGTGTACACAGTTGCACGCGTGTGTGAGTATGGGCATGCATGTGTGGGCATGCGCGTGCTGGTGCATGCAGCAGGTCTGTGTGTGCACGCCGCCATGTGCACCCCGCCTGCCACCACCTCCCGCTGCAGGGAGCTCCCCAGCTTGGCACGCGCGTGTGCGTGTACGACCACCCCCCTGCCAGGCCCTACACGTGGGAGGACGGACGGACAGAAGGAGCCACGGGAGCCATGGGAAGCAGCAAACGCTGCCTGCTCCCTGCCTGTCCAGCTGCCAGCTGCCTGCGGATGCCGCTGCCGCTGGGGCGGGAGGACGCGCGGCAGCAGCCAGGTTTTCCTGTGCTGCCCGCGGGCGCGTGGGACAGGACGTGCGTCCCCGTGCCTGGACCCCCCGGCCCCCCTGCCACCGAGCGCCTCGGGTCTGACTCAGCCGGGCGGCACGAGGCGCAGCCGGGGGCCGCGGCGTCGCAAACCTCCCGCCGGTTGCCGCGCTGCGCGGCCGACTTGAGCGGGTGCCAGGACGCGGTTGTGTTTGGCATCACGGCTCTCCCAGCTGATCCAGCCAAACAAACCGGCTGCCGGGCCGAGGGCTGCTGTCCCGGGAGAGCGGTGCAGCCCTGGGCAGGAGCGGGCAGCACCGGGCGGCGGGTCGGGCATGCATGGCGGGCAGGGGCGGACGGGACTCTGCATGGGACACGTGGCATGGAGAGGACGTGGCCTGAGCATGGGGTCGCAGCCACGGCCCCAGCCCGACCTGCCAGGCACCCCCAGGTGCCGGCTGGCCAGCGGGGGGGCACCCCTGGGGTCGGGGTGCTGGGCACCCCAAGGGCTGGGTCCTGCCTCCGCTGGCGGGGAAATGCCCCCCGCCCCCCGCTCCGGGGAGTGTTTATCTGCGAGGTGATACTTAAGTGTAAGAAAATAAACAGGGAGCAGATGGGCCGGGGGGCCGGGGCTGCCCCCAGCCCCACGGGGCTGCTCCGGCCCTGCTGGGAAAACACTGCTGCTGGCGAGGCAAATGGATTCCAGACCTGCGGCAACGCCGGCACATGTGGCCACCAGGACACCGGGCCTGACCCTGCTGAGCCCCGGCAAAGCAGCGCTGGACCAAGCCGATGTGTCCTATCTCATCCCACCCCACCCCATCCCATCCATCCCATCCCATCCCATCCCATCTCATCCCGTCCCACCCCATCCCATCCATTCCACCCCATCCCACCCCATCCCATCCCATCCATCCCACCCCATCCTGCCAAGACCCTGCTTGCCCG